CTCTTGGGCCCAACTGCACATTCACCATAAACCTATAGGTTTGTTAAATGTTAATGGTTTTTATGATAATTTATTGTCTTTTCTTGATCAAGCTGTGGAACAAAAATTTCTAACATTTGCAGTACGACAAATCATAATCTCTACAACTACTGCTGAACAATTCATTGACCAACACAATCTTTCATCCCTATAATTAATCCCTTTATGAGTCATATAAATTGGTCAACTATGAAAAGTCATAAAAAGATTAGATTGGATTTGAGCCTTCGTTTATGAAACCTTGTGTCTTTTAATTTTATTAATTGCATATTATTTTGTTTTGTTATTTTTTATATTTGTTTAAGTTTGTTTAAGGTTTGTTAGTGTTCGTTATTTCAGGTGATATCTTCTATACACTATCTTTCTATCTTAGGAAATTGAGGACAATATCTCGTTTTGGTTGTGGGAAGATGATAGCAGTTGACATTAAAAAAACTAACTTACTAATTGTTTTTGCTATTATTAAAACCATTTGACAAAATTGTTATTAAGAAGGCAAGTAAGGAGGAATTTTATTGACTTTTGAGATACATCTTAATGAATATTCTTATCAAGGTCTATCAAAATACATCTTCAAATATTCAGGTTTACAAACTCTCGCATTGTTATCACTTGATTTGGCTCATATATTCATTTAACAAGTATTTTTAAACCTTCATTTTCACACACACACTTTAACATATAATTGTGTGTTGTATATTATATTATGTTCTTTTGTTAAATGTAACAACTAAGAAAAAGAGATAGTATATAATTTGCAAATAAAAAAATTGATAATATTGATGATAATAAAAAAATAAAAAAATTTGATTTATTTTGGGGGTTTGTTTCTGAGTTGACTCGATCTAGTCAACCTAACCAAGTCAACCTGATCGTTTCAACTCGGTTGGGTCTGTCTGACCAGTCAACCCATTTAGGCAAAATAATAAGTAATGATAAAAAAAAAGGAGTCAACAAATAATATAAAATTAAAAAATCAGATTTTTTTAGCCTTTTTTTTTTTTGGGTTGAAGGATTGTTCCGAAAAATTCCCTTTGCATATTTTTATTTCAAGAAACCTATAAATAAAAGAAAAATATTTTTTGGGGTGTTACATATGGCTAAATCTCTGAAAAATATATATAAAAAATCATATTATTTAGTATTTTCATATGAAATACACACACACACACACACACACACACACACACACACACACACACACACACACACACACACACACACACACACACACACACACACATACATACATACATATATACAATGCTCTCAGTTTTTAAGAGAAAAGTAAGTTTCCATCTTAATAACAGTAAAATCTCAAGGGATAATACAATGCAAATACAAGTAGTTCTAGAAGTCAACACATGGATAAAGTCAAATAAGTTATTACTCTTTGTAATGATAAGGTTATTGAAAAACCACTCTTGAACCTTATGAGAAAGATGATGAGTTAAACTTTGAGGGTAAGAAAGGGGTTGAATATGAACATTGTAAAAAAAAAAAAGACTAATTCCCTGCTAGCACTCCTATTTTCTCATGTCATGACCAAACAAAGAAAAGTCAATCACTACACTAAAATCTTTAAAATTTTCAAATAAGTAAGGATCAATATACCTTTACTGGATGCTATTAAACAGGTACCTTCCTATACTAAATTTTTGAAAGATTTGTGCATTGTGAAGAGAAAACTGAATGTAAAAAAAAAAAAAACCTTTTTAGCCGAACAAGTGCCATTCTTTAGAAAAATAATGCTTTGAAATATAAAGATCTTGGTTGTCCTACATTTCTTGCTTTATTAGAGAACATAAAATTAAAAAAGCTTTACTTGATCTTGGAGCTAATGTGAATTTACT